TTTGTCTGATGAAACAGTTGCAACCGAATGCACATTCGGTTCGGGAAGTCACTTTACTCATCTGCAAGTAGGTTGAGTAAAGTTGAAGTAGCGAAGTTAAGTGAATAAAATCTGCGACTAGTGTTGCAGCCGGCCACCTCTCCTCTTGGTTTATTATATTTTTTGCTTTATTTCGTAAATTATGGATTATTATTCTGATGACGTCTGTCACGCCAGTGCATACGAAATCTTAGCACAGCTTCATCGGGATCGAAGGACGTTGGGCCGAAGACTTGCTCGCACAATTCATCAGTCTTCCCTACGCGGCAAGCCTCCTTCGGTTTCCAGTGAGACCACATCACGAATTCCTTCAAACCAACTTTCGTTTTGAAATGGAAAGTCATGTCACAATGTATATGAATCACTTACTCTTTTTAGACTATTGTGAAAATATACAAAGCTGCCATTTTTTTCGCAACTTGATCCTGTTGCTAGGACGACTCAGTTGGACGCACCTTGTTTAATCTCCTCTTCTACAGAAGTTATCAAAATTCACAGCGTCGGACCCCGGACTTGGTACATTCTCAGACGTTTCGCCGTCATCGTCAGTAAGTCTTGTCATTTTCATGTCTCTTTGAAGAGTTGTAGCTTGGTACTGGGAATGGCAAGACTCACTCATGATGTCGACTATGATGCCGGCGAAACGTCTCAGAATGTACCAAACCCACGACCCAACATTGGCAATTATGATGACTACTTTAACAAAAGACTTCGGACAAGCTGCGTCCAACTAAGCAACCCTGACAACACAAACAAGCTGCAAAAACGAGGCCAACCCACTTCTAAACATCGACGGAGACTGTGGCTATGCCAAAGGCCACATAATCTTGTTCTTCATATCTTTCATTTTTTTTCGTTTCTTCAATAGGCCCTCAAAGTCTGATATAAGAGATGTATTCACTTTATTTAGTTTAAAATGATAAAGGATTGGTAGTTGAGTTTTCCCATAAGCATATGAGTAAACCTTAGCTTTTCATTGTATTTCATATAGC